TTTACTGCAGTGGTCTAGAATTAAATCTGCAATAATCTCTTGAGGTATACCTGTAGTTGGAATACATCATCTTAAAAATGCTTGAAGATCTAGCTATAAAGCCTATGATCAGTAATGGGTAACATCTATTTAGATTATAATCTAATTTGCAAAACATTACTGAGGATGGGGGATTTGCCTGACAAAACAGCCTGCAGAGGATTTGAGGAAGTAAACCTGCAAACACTCAGTTAATCCAGAACTTCCAGATATCATTTCCAGCTTAAACTCAAAGGGCAACATCAATGTGTACTTAAGATGAAACTGGAAAGAGTAACAATACATGACCAAATATAAAAAAATACCCAAAGGAAGTTATTAGAAACAACATAATTTTAATGGCGTTTATGAATTGATTTGTAAGACCTTAAAAGAGAGATTCTCAAAGAATAGAAAAGATCACTAATAGTACCAGTAAAGATCATTGCTAGTATCAGTAAAGATGACTAAGACGATAGAAGCAAGCCATACTGCTTCTTTTCTTCTGTCAGTGAAACTTATGAGACTAGTTTATACATTTATTTAGGATATCCTTCATGAAAATGAGAAAGCAACAAAGCAGGGCTTTCACTTTTCTACATCAGACCACATGCTCAGACACACAAAGCTGACCAAGAGGCATACATGATTTATTTTAAAAGCGTAACAAATTTGACTTTATATAACAAAGTGCATCCTTAAAGAAAAATTATTTAAATAAAGTAGTTTCTGAGGGATATGTTTATTTCATACAAGATTCCATGATAAATCTAATCAGAGACACAATTTGGTTCACTCATATACTGAGCATCAACATAAAACAAAGCATCATACTAGGAGATAAATGATCAAAAGCTCACCACTGTCATAATTTCCTAAACAAAATCTTAAAGGAAGGAGAATTCTCTTTAAACAATGACCTAATCCAAATATTTTTGTTTGCAGATGATGTACTGATGGCATGAAGCCCAATTAGAGATAGCTAGGTGGCCCGTAGGTAGAGTACTGGGCCTAGAGTCAAGACCCAAGTTCAAATCCTGCTTCAGATATATATTAGCTATGTGACCTTGGGCAAGTCATTTAACTTGTCTGCCTCAGTTTCCTCAACTCAAAAATGGGGATCATAACAGCACCTACATCACAGGATTGTTTTAAGGATCAAATGAGATATTATTTGTAAAGAGTTTAGAGCACAGTGCCTGGTATGTTTTTTATCGTTGCTCATTAGTTTTCAGTTGTGCCCAAGTCTTTGTGACCCCATTTGGGGTTTTCTTGGCAAAGATACCACAGTGGGTTCCCCAACTGATAAATGGTCAAAGGGTATGAACAGTTTTCAGATGAAGAAATCAAAGCTATGTATAGTCATATGAAAGACTGCTCTAAGTCACTGTTGATTAGAGAAATGCAAATTAAAACAACTTGGAGGTATTACCTCACACCAGTCAGATTAGCTAATATGACAAAAGGAAAATAATAAATGTTGGAGGGGATGTGAGAGAACTGGAACACTATTCCACTGTTGGTGCACTTGTGAACTGATCCAACTGTTATGGAGAGCAATTTGGAACTATGCCCAAAGGGATATAAAACTGTACCTTTTGATTAAACAATACCACTACTAAGTCTGTACCCCGAAGAGATGTTTTAAAAAGGGGAAGAAAGGACCTATTTGTACAAAAATACTTATAGCAGCTCTCTTTGTAGTGGCAAAGAATTGGAAATTGAGGGGCTGGCTGTCTATCAACTGGAGAATGGCAAAACAACGTGGTATATGATTGTGATGGAATACTACTGTGCTGTAACAAATGATGAGCAGCCTGATTTCAGAAAAACCTAGAAAGACTTATATGAACTGATGAAAAACGAATAGAACAGCAATACTGTACAGTGATCAAGTGTGAATGAATTAGTAGCTATTCTCAGCAATACAATCATTCAAGACAATTTCAAAGGACTCATAATGAAAAAGGCTATCCACCTCCAGGGAAAGAACTGATAAGAGTCTCAAAGCATACTATTTTTCACCCTGTGGTTTTGGTTCTTTTATCCATTTTTTCCCCTTTGGGTCTGTGTCTTCTTTCACAACATGACTAATTTCGTAATATGTTTTGCATGAACGCACATGTATAAACTATATCAAATTGCGTTTCTGTGGGAGGGGGTGAAGGAGAAAATTTGGAACTCAATTTTTAAAAAAAATCAATGTTCAAAATTGTCTTTACATATAATTGGGGAAAAATAAATTTTATTTTTTTAAAAAAGATACTGGAGTAGTTTGCCATTTCCTTCTCCAGCTCATTTTACAGATGAGGGAACAGAGGCAAACAGGATTATTTGCCAAGGGTCACATAGCTAGTTAAGTGTCTGAGACCAAATTTGAACTCTCAAAGATGAATAAGTATTCCTGACTCCAGGTCCTGCACTCTATCCACTGCACCATCTAGTTACCCCAATTGGTATACAGTAGATGCTTAATGAATGTCCCCTCCCTTCAAAATACTATTAGGGCTCTTTAGTGAAATCCCTTATTATGCATCAGATTTGACAAGCCATTAGCACAGAAATAAAAAAAGTGGATGAAGAATGAATGTTTGCTTAGATTATGGTGGGTAGCCTAATCAGAGACAGAAAGAGAGAGAGAGAGAGAGAGAGAATGTGTGTGTGAGTGTGTGTGTGTGTGTGTGCGCGCGCGCACACGCGCGTGCACCCATAATTGACAAGTGCTGAAGACAATGAACTGAACCTAGAATTATATAAGAAGAAAACAGACTGGATTACACCTGGCCAGTTGCAGAGTATTTTCAAAGGTCTCAACTGGCTTTTTAAAAAATATCATTCTCTTGGTGATTACATATGTGGCTATGATTAAGGAAACAACACAATCTCAGAATAAAAATTACAGGTGATACAAATCAGTAGAAATGTGAGGTAAGTGCAGTTAAGCCACAGGACATTATAACTGATGTCTTGCCATGAAGAGACATACAACATACCATCATGAACAGGTATGTCTCAGCTGTTGTGTATGCTGGAACCAGCTCATACAGGCTCAAGAGCTTTTTTTTTTTTTTTTAATTTTCAGTGTATTTTCACGTAGGAAATCAATAAATGCTACAACAGAGGGATTGGTTTGAAGGAGATGTTAATAATGCATATTACTGTTAAAAATTGTCTATATCTAACTGGGGGAAAAATTAAATATTAATTTTTTAAAAGTAACGCCGATTTCACTTAAAAGTGTGTCGTGGTTAAACATCTACCAATACACCCCTGGATATGAGCCAAAACTGTAGGTTGTGCTCTAGCAATAGCCAGATATAAAGATTTCCAGAATACTGCACAAAATATTAAAAAAGGACCCCAGTACATTAGGAAGAACTTTTAAAGAGGGCTGACAGACTTTCAGGATGATGACAGAATTAGGTTACCTTCTACAAAGGTGAAGATGTACCCATACAAAAATTGACTTAGGAGCTCTCCACTGCCTATTAGAAACTCTTGGCATCTATTCAATCAAAGCTCTCTCTAATTTTGTTCTACCCCATATTTTCAGTCTTATTTCATTGTATTCTCCTTCCATCACTGTATTTAAGAGAAACCATTACTAGCTATTCCCTATCTTCTCCTGTTTTCTCCTCCAACCTCCAGGCCTGGAATACACTCCCTCTACTTGTTTTAATCCTGTCTGATCCTCGAAGGCCCATCTCTGAAGCTACCGCTTCTATGAAACCTTCTCTGACCCCCTCATTCCCTAGCTGAAAGTGATCTCTCCTCCTTCAGATCTTAACAGGGCATTTTTCCTAAAGTTCTATTTCACTCTTATCACCTAGTTATCATGCTTATCCTATTTTATTTCCCCTATTCAACTATAAGCTTTTTGGTCAAAAGCATTATACTGTTTTCCCACTTGGTACATATGAAACCTTTAAACAAATACTTGTTGAATTTAGTTGAATTCTCTCCTGCCTTTCTTTCATCAGTGACTACCCTAGCTAGTTCCCTGTATTCAAGCAAGAGGCTCCATTTTGGGGATGTCTGATCCAGTGTCATTAATGATCTTTAAGTATCGTCTGCATATTCTCCCCAAATGTCCAAAAACGAACTGAATTAACAGAAAGGAAACAAATGTCACACAGTGATAGGTGTAAGGAAATGAATATTGCCAAAAGATGGTAAGACACTAAGACTCACTGTCCTGAGTATCCTAAAACCCTGCAGGGTAAGGCAAGAAATGAGGGAGACAGAGGAAGTAGCAAACCAGTCAGGTGTTAATCCCAACAGTCATCGGCCTCCCTCCTTTCTGCAGACTAGCTGCAGAGAGCAGAAGGCCTGATGTCCAAATTACTCCGGGAGTCCGAGAGCCTGTGCCAGGCAAGGCCCTGGTGGCAACATCAGGGGTAGCTTGTCTTACTGGTGACCGCTCCCACGCCCTTAGCACCACTGGGTGCTTACTCGGGGTCACCCTCCCAGTCGCCCAAACCAGGGGAAGAAGGAAAGTTCTTAATCGCAGCCCCCGGGCCAGGGAGAACCACACCTGCGCAAAAGAGCAGGAACGGAGGGAGTGAGGAGAAGGGGTGGACAAAGTGCCCCAAGGGCAGGAACAGAGGCCTCCTCAGCCAGGACCCGCCCTCGGTGGCGCCAGGGCCCGCCCAGACAATTCCCTCGCGGCTGCAGACAGCCTCGGCCACATGGAAATGACCACCACCCAAGCGGGCTCAGAATACAGGAGGCCAGAGGGAGGAGGGGAAGGAAGACCAAAGCAAATCAATAAACACCTACTAAGTGCCACTCTCTGGGGTAAGCATCGGGCACGGTGCACCCTCAGCCTCGGGGACCGCAGCTCTCCAGCGCGCCAGCTGGTGGGGAGCCGGACCCAGAGCACACAGGGCCCTAGGCGGAGGTAGGGATCGGGGGTCTCCTCCGCTCCCGCCTTCCCAGCTCGGGGGCCACGCTTGTAGCGCAGGGGCACCCCGACTTCTTACCTTGCTGTCGATCTGTTTCACCATCTTTTCCGACGGCTCGGCAGGGGCGGTCTGTTCAGGAGACTCGGGCTGTTCGGGAGGAGCGGGCGGCTCCGCGGGCGAGGGCGGCTCGGGAGGCGAGGGCTTCTCGGGAGGAGCGGGCTTCTCAGGAAGCGAGGACGGCTCGGGAGGAGTGGGCTTCTCGGGCAGAGCGGGCGGCTCAGAAGGCAAGGACGGCTCGGGAGGAGCTGGCTGCTGCGGAAGCGAGGGCAGCGCTGAAGGTTCAGGCGGCGCCGGAGGCGGAGGGGCGCTTCTCCGGGCGGGGTGGGGAGAAGGGGATTTGGCTGATTTGAGAAGCCCGAATAACCTGGTTTTGGGTGAACTGAACTTGCTAGGTCCAGGTGACTTGGAAGCCGGAACCTTTCTTGTAGGTGCTTCTTTCTGCTGGAGATGCAAGAAAGTAGCGGTAGCTCCGCCTCATGGGCCTTTTATAACGTGGGCGGAGAAGAGCCAAGGCCCGGGAAGGGAGAGGGAGAGAGGAAGGAGGCCTTGCGCGCCCGGGCGCTCCTCTTCCTGGAACGCCCTCCCCTCCCCTCCCCTCCCCTCCCCTCCTTCGCAGCCCCGGGCTCGCGCCACGTCTCTCGCGTCACGTCTCCTGGGACTGGCACCGCAGAGCCCCGCCCCTACCGCCTATCTTTCCCCGCCCCCTCGCCATGAAAACGGTCCTGGGCCCGGGTGGCCCCTGGCCCGCGGAAGCTCTTCACCTTTCTTCTGCCTAATAGGAGTCTGGCCTCCCCATCCCTCCCTGCTCCCTTTCCGGTTTTATGATTCACTAATCGTCCCATTGCCCTCCAGGGTCAGTTGGGGAGGAGTGGGAAATGTTGGCTGGTCTTTGCAAAACGAACCGATCGAGCCGTCAGAAATTTAATTACACTGCGTGTAAAAGCCTTTCGTGGAAAATACCCTCTGCTCCCAGGCAGCCCAAGTGTCCCCTCGGCCAGCCCTAGAGGGGGCGGGGGGGAGGAGGAAGAGGAGGAGGGCGCCGGGAGCAGCCAGGAAGCCTCGATGTCCTAGGATTGTGAGAGAGGTCGTAGGACCTTGGGCCGGAAGAGTCCCTTCCCCTGGCCCAACTTCCGACCCCAAGTGAGCACAGACGCAAGGGCACCCCCAGACCCAGGCTCCGGGGGAGGTGACGAGAGTCGTGGTCAGAATTAAGGGGGCGCAGGGTGGGGGGCTGCTAGAACAATCTAACGCTGTAGACCGTGGACAGGGCGGCCTGCGAGGGCATGGAAAGCGAGGCGGCCCTCGTGGACGGACCGAGCCCCAGCCTTGGGGCCGCCTTGGGAAAACGCGGGAGAGGGAGGGGGCCCCCAAGCATTTCATCTAAAAGCTGAGGGGGATGGGCAACGTTGCCCCAGACTGGAGCCTGGGCCTCCGCCCCAGCGGGGGTGGGTGGGACTGAGTCACTCTCACTTCATTGTCATTGTGGTCTGTGATAACCAGAGCCCGGAAAACGGGAACAAAATGCTGTGTAACGATGACCAGGAAGTATCGGGGTGCGCCCCACCCCCCGGCCGCTCCCTCCCGGAACTTGCCTTATTTTGTTCCTTTTCCTTCCCTCCTTTTCTCCTCATTTTCCTTTAAATCTCTGTCGGTGACGCAGCAGATTAGCCCTAGTGGTTGAGCTGGAGAGCAGCAAAGATCAAGGAAGGACGAGGCCCCGCTCCTGGGGCCCAGAGGGGAGCTCCGAGGCGGCCATGCTCCGAACGGAGATCCCCGAGAGCTCGTTTTCTAAGAATTTTCCGAAGGTGCCATTCCATTGTTTGTTCCCCGGCCTCCTCTTCGCGCTTCTATGATGGTACTAGGCTTTGGTTTGTGTAGCTAGCTCTGGCGGCTTGAGCAGGCCAGTCAGCATCCCCCTGCAAACTACCAGCAGCATTAAATAACGTGGTGAAACTCACCGAGTTACCAGGTCTTGGAGCGAAGTCCGGCAACCTGTGCTGCCAGGGAGGCAGATCTGCAACCAAGTGCTGCTCAGGAATAGGAGAAGAAATCGTACTTATCTAAAAATAAAATAAAGTAGCTAGAGAAGGTAAAAGAGTAATAAAACCAAAATCCAAGTCGTAAGCTGATGTGAGAGGATTGTAAATAGGATAGTCAAAAGGAGTGTTTTGGGAATAAAGTATAGCATTCTTTCAAGCAGTTTCCAGCTCTCCTCATATATCTTCTACGAGTCCTTATTAAGGCAAAATAAATGTCCAGATTACTTAGTAAGGTATTTAGGGCCTCAATCCCTGAAAAGTGTGCATTTCTTCTAAGCAAAATTTATTTGCCTGGAATTCCTGTCTCCCTGGACTCTGTCAAAATTGTAGCCATAATTCAAATGTCATCTCCAGGAAACCTTTCTTCTCTCTGTTCCCCAAGCCAGAAGTAACCTCTTCCTAACCATGGTTCCCATAACTTTGTTTTTAATTTTTCTCTAGGAATTATAAAATGCTGACCTATATTTGTGAGTGTATGTATGTGTTTATGTGTGTATGTATATGTATGTGTGTGTGTGTGTGTATATATATATATATATATATATACATATAAAAGCTATATTATTCAGGATAAAGACCAAATCTTTTTTGTTTATCTGTCATCCACAGCAGAGATGTCAAACATGCTGCCCACAAATGGGGCCTGAACTAAACTAAAATATAATTGGGACATATTTAACAAAACAAAAATATAATAAAATATATTTACATTTTAAAGCTAAGTCAATATGCAGCCCACATGATCCTTGTGTATGATTTAATGAACCCCATTTCTATTTGAGTTTCATACAACTGTTACAGAGTACCATGCCATGAATAGAAATCTTATTTAAAGGGAAAAGTGGTAGATTTAAAGTTAAAAGACCTGTACTTGAGTTCAAGTTGTGCTAACAGCTCCTCAGTAACTGTGTGTCCTTGGTCAAATGATGTCTTCTCTTTGGGCCTCATTTTCTTCATTTGTAAAATGAAGTTGAACTAGATGATCTCTTAAGTTTTCTTCTAGCCCTAGCATTCTGTGATTCTGAGACTTAGTAGAGTAAGTCCTTAATAAATGTTTGCTAAGAGTAATAATAGTTCGCATTTATAGTGTGTTTTAAGATTTGCAAAGCATTTTACATAGATGATCCTCACAACAAGGAAGATGCCATGATCATGCTCATTTTACAGATGAGACAACCGAATCCTAGAAATGTAACTTCGTTACAGTAACAGGAAAATTGAAGTCACACAGGTAGTAAATAAATATTTGAGATGAGGATGCAAGCCCAAGTCTTCCTGATCCAAAAAAGTCTGGGGATTTAGCACTATCCCCAGTGTAACCATTAACTACTAAGAAATCAAAGGAGCCATCAGTAGTAGTCTTAACATATGTCTTTGCATTAGATTCTAATGATTCTAGAGGAGAGAGTGAGGCTGATGACTTTGCATAGCTCTGCCTCACTTAAATCCACTTGGTAAGGAAATTAAGATATCACCCGCATGATGTCATTGGTCCTCTTCTAGAAGGATGAACAACAATAAGAAATCAAAGAGACAGATGTGCAGTAATATGAAAGGCTAATTTTGATCAAATACATTGTATTTCCCATCACCTTCATTGTACCCTTTAGAAAAATGAAGCCCATAGAAGTAAAGTTTCTCACAAAATCCTTGTGAACAAAATGAAGTAGTGAAGGCTAAGTACAGTTAAGTGGATGGAGAAATGGTTGAATGATGGACTAGTAAGTAGTTGTTATTTATTCAGTGTCAAACTTAAAGGAAGTCTTAAGTGAAGTGCTTTAGGGATTTGTATTTGGCCCTATTTTATTCAACATTTTTACCATTACTTGGATGAAGGTAGAGAAGCCAAGTATAGCCAGGAAGTTATAGCTCACAAATTGAATGACAGAATTATAATGCACAAAGATCTTGGCAGGTAGAATTATGTTCTGATTTAACAAGATGAAATTTAATGTAGTTAGATTAATATTATTATTTTTATTATTACTTGAAAGTCTGTCATTGCATTGGAAATTAGACATATTCTACTTGTCCCCAGAGAGTAGAACTAGGCATAATGGGTAGAAGCTACAGAGAGGCAGATTTTGGCTTGATAAAAAAGTTAAATGAACTATTTTTATAAGTAGTGAGCTGCTCATCACTGGATGTTTTTAAATAGGTATATGGCCACCTGTCAGGGATGTTGCAGAGAGGATTTTTGTTCAGATGCAGGTTGGACTCCTCTTCCAACTTCCAACTCGATTCTATGAAGTGACATGCCCAAAGTCATGTATAGTCAATGATAGAACTGAACTAGAATCCAGGTTTCCTACTCCTAAATCCAGAGGTCTTTCTGCTGAATCATATTACACCTACAGAAATACTGATATACATGTGTCAAGTATATACATTTCAATGATGTTACACAACAGACTTTTATACCATGGAAAACAAAGCATTATAAGGATTATTGTGCTTTCCCTTTCCTAAGAGCAAACCTGCACAACTTGGCAGTAGGTAGGGGCTAAAATTAAAATAGGCTAAACTTCTTTGGACCACAGATAGGTTAGAATGACAATGGTTGGTTGCTGTGGGCCATGTGGCAAATAGGAGAGTGCGAAGTGGCAACCCTACATCTTTTTCAGGTCACTGGAAATCCTTTGGTGGGGTGGCAAGTGTTCCACCAGGTCATATGTTGTGCAGGCCTGCCTAAAAGTCTCCCCACTATTTGGTCATCTAAAGATTTTAACCTTGTGTATCTATAGGATTGGGCAGGTTGATGGATTTTGATGGTTTAATCTTATTTGTGTTGCTAAGACATCTTTCCTTGCTTAAAGTTTCCAAAGACATTCAGATCAAGGCTACAGTCTTTGGAGTACTAAGCTGGAGAAATAAAAGCATTTTGGATGCCTGTTTAAAAATAGTTTTTTGTAGCCTAGTATGGCTTAAAAGTAGCTGACTAACCATCAGCAATCTCTCTGAATGAATCCAGGAACTAGAAAGCAAGCTTTCTAAATGTTATAGATACATATTGCAGTGCCATTCACTGGTGTCTAAATAATTCCGAAACTATTCTAACAGAGCCATTGCCCATAGGGACTAGGAGGCTCCCTTCCACTAAGAAGTCCAACTCTTGGCTCACATGGACCAAATACAGTCCTAGGGGATCTTGGCCCCAAAGAGAAGAGTCAGCTTCTTCTCATATTCTCTGACTCATTGTGCCCTCACCCCAGAATAGAACTCTGGTGACATTTTTCCTTGATCTATTTAGGCTTGACTCATGTCTAGGACTCCCATAGAAGGATTAACAGGATCCCTGGATCACTTCTATAAAGATGCTCAGTTTACAGTACATCGTATATAAAATAGATATTTGTTTCTACCACAAAAGAAATGCTTAAATCACAAAAGGGTTATAAGCATGCATTGATGAAAAATTAAAGCATGA